TATATAATTTTATATACAAGCCCGGGTAATCAGTTTAGAGTTAGCCATAAATATTGGCCGGAGAATTATCTCTCTCACTCCGGCACACACATGGCTATGCCCGACATGTGCAGCACAAACGTCATTTTCCTACATAAGTGCACCCGAATTGTGTTTCTGTTAGTATGAGTCCGTTACCAGGGTCTGGGGACTTAAAAAAAATGTTGGGGGGTATTTTTTATTTTGCTTTATTTACTTTACTTTTTAGAACTTTTTTTTTTTTACTCCATTGCTATCACATGGAGGGGTGGGGCTCACAAGCCCCCCAATGTGATAGCACATTGGAGATGACTGAGGCAGCTGAATGTAAACACAGCAGGCAGCAGCTTGGAGCAATAGCCAACCTGCTATTGGCCATTGTAAATTGCAGTCGTCAATAGCAGGCCGGCTATTGCACCCGCCCACTGCCTGCTGTCAATCAGCAGAGAAGGGGAACTGAAGGAAAAGGTTCTCCATCAGGTCCTCCTCTGCTGATGACAATAGCAGGTTGGCTACTGCTCCCAGCCGCTGCATGGGAGCAAGCCGTAAGAGGGAGGCATGGAGGAGCGGCGGGAACGAGCCGCGGGGACACGGGGGAGGAGCAGCGGGAACGAGCAGCATGGACATGGAGGAGCAGAGGAGACCTGGGGATGACCAGCGGGAACACAGACAACAGCAACAGAGGCACCGGGGCAAAGTGGAGGGGAGGAGAGGGGAAAAAAAAAAGGAGAGGAGAGGGAAGAAGGGAAAGGAAGGAGGGGGGAAGGAGAGGGAGTGAGGAGTGGAAAGGGAAGAGGGGTAGGAAGGGGAGAGTTGAGGAGAGGGTCAAGGAAAGGGAAAGAGAGAAGAGGTGAGAGGGGATGAGAATAAAGGAGGGGATGAGAATAAAAGGAGGGGATGAGAATAAAAAGGGGTTGAAGAAGGGGAGAGCAGGAAGGAGAGGAAAAAGACAGAGGTGAGAGGGGAGGGGAGTGAGTGAGTGAGGGAACAAAAGAGAAGGATAGGGAGG